TATATATATATAATGAATGAAAATACCCACCTTGAGAAAATTTCAGTAGATTTTTAGACTTTGAAAGTTTTTGACCCTATTTAAATCAAATTATATATTCTGCCCTAATTTCAAATAGTGTTATGTCTCTGTTCAGCCAAACTGAAATGACCCTTTAGGTAGTTAAATATTCACGGGCACTGATAAAACACGAGAGGTAATTTCCGGAATACGTGTGCAGTGGGCTTGCCCCAGGCCTATTGGATCAGAGCCAGAAGATGGCAGGGCAGGTATATTTCAGGGCAGAGTTCCTTTGGGGATTTTGGTGTACAGCCTTGTGGATAACAAAGCCATTACTGCTTTAACCAAATCGGATAGGATAGGTAGGTAACAGTTTCTTCGTATAAGCGGTGAAACAATGCAATCTGATTAATAGGGGGTCTTTTGGGCTTAGGGCATCAAAAATGATGTTAACTTATAAAACCTTAGAAATGTAGTACAGGTGAGCATTGGCTAAGTAAAATTCTTGGGACCAGAAGTGTTTTAAATTTCAGAGTTTTTTGGATTGTGGAACATTTATGTAGATGTTCCAAAAACTAAAAATCTGAAATCTTCCAATATCCAACATTTTTTTGAGTGCCATGTTTTGGATTTTGGAGCATTTTGGATTTGGGATTTTTTTTCTTTTTTTTTCCCCTCGTTGAGTTTATTGGTACATTTTAGGTATACAGTACAGTTACATTCATTATTGGGATCTTGTACCTTTACATGACAGGTTTGGTTCTCATTTGGTTTTTCCCAGTTCTTTTGAATTAGGCTTTCTCCTCATAAGGTTGGGATCACCTGCATAGGTCTGAGATTGTTTTTAAAGACACGGCTAGGGCTTTCAGTGGAAATCACAGGAGATTTCATGAGCTTTCATGGCTGCCTTGTTTGGGTGTTAAGTTAGAAATTTTAGTTAGCAGGATTTTCTTGCTCTCTTTTAATAAAGTTTACTTAAATATTTCAGGATACAAATTTACAGTGACTGTTAATTGATCTCTGAAGTCTTTCTCAGGTTACTCCATTGAAAAGATTCATTTCATGATTTTCTTTCTCTAAGAAGTCTTGAATTGAGTAAAGAGACAAGGTAGAAGTGATAAGTCAGAAACCACCCCCAGCTGAGCCTGTATGTAGCAGCATTTCTAGGACTTACTGTGACTGTGACACAACTATAGTACAGGTGTCCAAATGTTGAGTCTCAGCCAGGTGTGGGGGCGCACACCTTTAATCCTAGCACTCGAGAGGCTGAGGCAGGAGGATCCCATGTTTGAGACCAGCCTGGGCTACATAGTGAGTTCCAGGTCAGTCTCAACTACATGGTGAGAACCTGTCTCAACCCCTCACCCCCAAAAAAGCAAAAACCAAACAAACAAATGTTGAGTCTCATATACTTTTGTTGTTTGACTCTTAATACATCCTTTTAAGTTAATTTGAAAACAAGGTAGCTGTGAAGTTAATGGTAAACCATTAACTATGCCATCCATAGTAGGAAGGAATAAAAGTACTCTTAGTAGTCTTTTCTAATAAAACATAATTGCTTCAAGATTTATCTTGACGACCAGTGAGAATGAGATTAACATGAAAAGACCTGGATTTTTACTTACAAAGGGGTGATAGAAAAATAGAATGAATGTTTGAATTTAAAAATTTATTACAGTAAAAGATGCACTGCCATAAATGCCCCTCACCCTATTTCTTCTTGATTTGAACACACTTTCCGTCGTTCTTGCTACTTGTGAAGCATTTCTGGGGGTTCTCATTCCTGTCTGAGGTGTGGTCAAAATACAGAGACTGCTGATCCCAGCGCCATCCAGCAGAAAGGCAGGCTTGTTAAGACACGACACTGTGTCCTCTTCCGCCTTCCTCTGGATCTGGCTCTTCCCCAAAGTCACAGTGACCATGAAAGGTCAATATTTTGAATGGATTCAGGACACTGAGGCGCAGGCATAACAACACAACTAAGGACACTCAGGGAAGAGGACTTCCAGAACTGCTTCAGAAAGTGGCAGGACAGATGGGGTGTGCTCAAGGTGAGGGGGTGTGTTTGAGACGAATTAATGACCTTGTGTCTTTCGCTTTGTTTTTATATAAACACACTGTATTTTTCCATCACACTTAGTGTTTTTATATTTCATGTTCTTATTAAGCAACCACTTGAATGTTCAGTTTATAACTGTTATTTGTAGTCTAGTATTGAAATTTTCTGTTAATGTGAGATTGATGTTCTTTCAGTGTTGACCACGAGTATAAATTTACATTGAATTAACACTATTCTGAACTATTTTTCAGATATACCAGTACATTCAGAGTCGCTTTTATCGGTCCCCAGAGGTGCTATTGGGAATGCCTTATGATCTTGCTATCGACATGTGGTCCCTTGGGTGTATTTTGGTTGAAATGCACACTGGAGAACCTCTGTTTAGTGGTGCCAATGAGGTACATGATGTTTTCATTCTGTTTTCCTCCATAACTGTGTAATCTGAAGGTTTTTTTCAGGGGAAGGTATCTATTTACCAGATTAGATATTCGCATGTAAAGTCGCTTTTGAACTTACTTTATGTCTTAGATTTTTTTCTTATTTGTCATTTGCCATATAATGGTGAGTTAAGAATGATAAGATGGTAATTAAGCTTTTTCAATTTGCTTACGAAGAGAACATTGAATTAAAGTAGAAAGTGTTGGGCCGAGGATTTAGCTCAGCTGTTCGGTGGCCTGCCTTGCAAGCGCAAGGACCCGAGTTCAATCCCCGGTACAAAAAAACAAAAAACCAACCAACCAAACAAACAAAAAAACAAAGTAGAAAATGTTCAATGTATTGCATACTTTTTACGGGTCAGTAGGATAGTAGAAAGCTTCAAATAATCATGAAGGATTGAGGGCAGTCCTGAAAAGTGGCGTAAATATTGCTGCAAGCCTTTGAGGCTATAGTTTGGAATTGGAAAGAATAGTGGCCAGTACAGTTGACACAGTCTGAACAGCTGAGGGTGACCTGGAATTCGAGGGTCTCTGGAGAGGCTGCAGAGGCTGCACAGCCCATAAATTTTAGTCCATGTTCCTGAGAATTTGCGCAGTCGCAAGCAGTGGCTGTGAGGCCAGGTTCCCCTGTCTTGAGAGGAACTGAGCTTCCATTTGTTTTATACCTCTCCAACTGTGAGATTTTCTTTCCTTTTATTCTTTTTTTAAAGAAAAATTATTGATCTTGATCAGAATATTCGTTTATAAATGAAGAAAGGAAGGCCGGACGTTCAGTGGACCGTACAGTGGTCAATAGGTAGTGTCAGAAACGTGTCCCTTCGTTTTCATGTATTGCAACTTGAGCTGGTGAGGCTCTCTTTGGCAGCAGCTGCCGTAGCATTTTTTTCTTATTATTTTATGAAAAACTAAAGCATTTTCATAACCAAATACAAGACCAACAGTTATTGATATACACTGTATATCATTATCTTCAAAGTAGTTACTCAAAACAAGACATAAACCAAAAAAATTCTTAAAAAAGAAACTTTTTATTTTCAACGCACTGATACTAAGATAAACTTTTAATATAAACAAATTTTAAACAACTTTCTATAATTTGAAGGTTTGAACTTCTCTCTACTTGCTATTTATCTTTCTTCTGTTTCGCTTTTCCAGTGTGTGTGTCGTGTAGTTAGTATTTCTGGTATGAGAGAAACCGTGTGATACTGAGCTTGTGCCTGATAAAGTTGCGTCCATTTGCCTATGAATGCCTCAGGTTCATCTCTGTATCATCGTATGTATTTGTAGTAGTAAGTGCCCAATGCGTTAGTAATTTTCTTGGGCTTAGACATTGTTAGGACCACCTGAAGCCTCTGGCTTCCAGTCAGAGCCATTGTGAGAGCCGAGTCCCCCCACCCCGTCCTCTCTCGGGTGCGGTCATCTCTGCAGCCCCTCTTGGGCTCCCCTCCGCCCTTCACCCCACGCAGCTCGTGGCCTCTCTGAGGTGCCTTGCATTCCTTCCTTCCTGTGTCTGAGGCGCCCGTCCCAGGTAGCCCCGGCTCATTCCTGTGTCTCCTCAGCGGCAGCTCAGATCACCCCCCATTGAAGGGCAGTGTCCCCGCGTCGTCCCCTGTGGATTCCCTCTGTATTACTCCCCTTCCTCTGACGGAGTGTACTGAACTACTTTGGGTCCTTCGTATCTGCATCCTCAAAAGTACTGGGGCGGGGGGCGGTAACTGCATCTGTACCTAATATTTACAAGCTTTTTTTTTTGTCATGAGTCTCTAAACAATGTAACAAATATTTCCGTAGCATTTACATTTCTCTAAGAATGAAATGTAACCGCATGATTTTTAAAGTATGCGAGAATATCTGGACTATTTAGACTCCATCAATTGTAGTTTATAGCAATGTTTACACCGTTTTTCAGAGTGGCCCTCGTTCCCTCATGCTCACGTGAAAATAGCATGACATTTTGTATAAAGGGTTTAAGCATCGTAGATTTTGGCCATGGGTGGGGGTGTGAGGTATCGATGGGGCTGTTCTTGCCTGGAACCCATCCTCTGAAGGTACCGAGGGACCACTGTGTTTATTATTCATGTCTTCTTATTATTGTGTATACTTTTTTGACAGAGATGTAGTACATTGTATTTGAGTGAGTCTGCACTTTTAAAAAAGACTTTATTTGGTACTCATGTGAGACTGAGATTTTTACTGGTTATTAAAATCTCTCCAAAGACAAACTTTACATCTTCCTTGCATCCTTTCCTACTGTCATCCATCATAGCCAGGATCACTAGCCAAAGATTTGTGCGTTCGTTACTCACCGCATGTCTGGTCCCATAGGTGAAGGGTCGTTATCTGTTTTGGTCCTCACTGTATTCAGTGTCTAGACATTTGACACGTAGGATATGCTCAGTTGATTTAGGAATGAAGTGATGAGTAGAAGTAGCATGTGCAATGAAAATTACAGGCTCTATTTTTGTCTTTAATACAGGTAGATCAGATGAATAAAATAGTGGAAGTTCTGGGTATTCCGCCTGCTCATATTCTTGACCAAGCACCAAAAGCAAGAAAGTTCTTTGAGAAGTTGCCAGATGGCACTTGGAACTTAAAGAAGACCAAAGACGGAAAACGGGTAAAGTCGGGGTCACGGCTGTCAGTCGGTTGGGGGACCCCCCCCTTCCTTGTTGCACCAGAGGAGTTACTTAATAGCTCCCTTTTAACTTACTTGAAGTCAGTTCTTAATTTATTCTGTGATTCCGGAAAAGAGGGCCATGTTTATTTGTGTGGGAAGATGGCTGTGGTCATGTTTGTCACCTGATGCAGAGTTTGCAAACAAAAACAAAGTTTTGCCCAGTGTTTGCAAACCACATTGTTTGCAAACAAAAGCATTCCTGAACTGAGGTACCACTGTACATTCACAATTCCAATATAACTCATTGGAATTACAACTGAACTATAGACCAGTGTTTGATGAGTGGACAGAATTCTCTTTATGGATTCATTTAAAACAAACAATCAGCCGGGCGGGCGTGGTGGCGCACATCTGTAAACCCAGCACTCTGGAGGCTGAGGCAGGAGGATCACTGCAAGTTCGAGACCAGTTTGGGCTACACGGTGAGTTCCAGAGCAGTCTGAACTACATAGTGAGACCCTGTCTCAAAAAACCAAAACCAACCAACAGACAAAGCTGTGTGCCTGCCACTTGGGAACAGCTTCTAGATCATTGTGCCTTGTTTCAGTTCCAGAATTAGTAAGTTTGCCCTTTGTCTCTCACACTTTGGGCAGACAAAGTAAAGTCAGTTAATGCTACTGCAATTTGAACAGAAGTCATAAATGCAGTAAATGATTTTTTTAAAGCTCATTTTTGGTGAATTATTTGAAATGATGGTTTTGGTACAAGAAGTAGCTTTGAGGATTTGAACTGACTGGAGGATCCTGTGTTAGGTTTCTTTTAGTAATTTTTTTCTGTAAAAAACTTTTCAGATACTTAAACTATACTATGTCAATTTATAAATGATAGCAAATACGTGTTTACGCTTTTGTTTTCTGGGTCTGGAAATTATCTTTTGCAGTCTAGCTTTCCTGGTATTGAATGAAGATAATACATAGATATATGATTGGATTTGATGCTCACCCGCTTCGTCATGTGACTGCCATTCTGCGTTTCTGGCATTGAAGAGATCTCATTTTTGCTCTAGTTACTGTGTTGCCCTTGCATTTTAGTGGTGCTGCCACCAGGTGTCATTTTCTGTGAACTGAAGAAGGTTGCTCACTAATTCGCTTCAACTCAGCCATGGTGTTTTAACTTTCAATAGCAAATGATTTTGCAGTTGTTTCTTTCACAATTGGTTTGCAGCTTACTGCTTTCTGCCCTAGTCACTCAGATTGCAGGCGAGCTGATTCCTCCTACTAGATTATGTCTGTTCCTCGTAGGGCAAGGATGGAGACTATCAAGTGAACATCCCGAGGCCCTCTTTTACCTTTATCCACCTTTATAGATTATCACTTCTGGCCCAGTTTTTGTTGAACCCAAACAGAAGCTGAGAATCTTTAGTTTCACCAGCATTCAATGTTAGCATCTACTAGCTGGAGTTAGAACGCAGGGTTTGCAACCTCAGTGTTTTCTCTCTCCAATACAGCATGCTCCTACTTCAGTTTTAATTTTTAAAAAGACATAACTATGGTCTGTCACCTATCGTTTCTTCCAAATTGAGCTGTAGTTATTATGTTTAATTATTTGGAGAAGCATTTCAGGAATGAGTAGAGCAGTCTTCATTTTTTAAATTGAAACTGATTATCTTAACCTACATTTAATATCTGTTAATTAACTATGGATTTTATGAGCTTTTTCCCTAGTGGAACTTAGTAATTGACTTAAAAAAATTTAAAGTATGAAATAACTTTTTCTCTTTTAACAAAAATTAGTTTTGCAACAAAAAAAATCAGTTCCATAGTCAAATGATTGTATTCAGAAAAATATACTGGGGATTTTTTTTTTACAAAATTATTACTGGCTATCTTCCTGTATTTTGATTTTTAAAAAATTTTTTGTTTTATGTTTGAAAGTCTATAGTACACTTTCCATAATGAAATGCACACCTACTGTATTTTTTTTCTTTGGTGAACAAAGAATTAAGTGATACTAAATGATGCTATTTTGTTCAAGTATTATTTATATACAATAAGATGCATATATTTAAAGATTACGTTTGCATCCAGTACCTAGCATGTAACGTAGACTATTTCTGCCATCTCTCAACTTCTTTTTTAAAATTTTTTAATTTTTGGAACTGGGGAATGAACTTAGGTCCTTGCGCTTGCCAGGCAGGCACCAGAACCACTGAGCTAAATCCCCGGCCCTCTCTGAACTTCTTAGGTGACTTTTTTCTGTCATCTCACTTCTGATTTCTGTGGTCCTAGATCAGTTTAATGAACAAGCAGACTTTATATAAATTGGAATCTTGTTTACTCTTTGTTTTGTCTTTTAATTAAAAAATTGTTTTTAGAGGAATGACATTCTTATTGTTGTATATCTCAGAGCTTAATTTCATTTTATTGCTTGATAGTATTTCATTGACTACCATAATTTATATTCACCTGTCGGTGAATATTTCAGTTGTTTCCAACATATCTAAGTGTTTCTGTACATACACATTTTCATTTCTCTGGCGGCACTACCTGTGAGTGGAGTTGCCAGGCCACAGGGTTATATATGTGTTTGCTTTTCTAAGGAAATACCACACACAGCCGGGTGTGGTAGCACATCCTGTAATACCAGCAACTGGGGAGGCCGAGGCTGAGGCTGAGGCGAGGCCAGACTGGGCTACATAGTGGGACCCTGTCTCAAACAAAAGACCAAACAGTTCTGCAAGGTTGTTTTTATTACTTTATATTTCCATATCTTTTCCTAGACCAGCTTGCTTATTCCTTTTCTGAATATGGTATCTTTTGAGGAGCAGGGAATTTTAATTATCTGGTAACATGTTATGCTATGTTATGTTATATTATGTTATTTTGAGACAGGGTCTCACTATGTAGTTGAGACTGACCTGGAACTCACTATGTAGCCCAGGGTGGTCTCGAACTCACAGTGATCCTCCCGCCTCACCCTCTCAAGTGCTAGGATTACAAGTATGCACCACCGTGCCCGACTGTTAACATTTTAAAAATAAATCTCGAGAAATCTTTTCTATTCCCAAGTTTGATGATATTCATGTACATTTTTTTTCTTTCTAAAAGTGTTTTTTACTCCACTTTTGTAGTTAAGATTCTGTGATCTATCTCAAATTAATTTTTGAGCATGGCTTAAGGTAAAGGGATTAAAAGAACGGCATCTTTTGTTGAAAATAAGTACCTTTCCCTATTGCTTTGGTTTGGTACTTTGGTACAAAACAGATTCACCTTGTGTGTTTCCAGAATGGACTGTATTCTTTTCCATCTTCCTATCCTTGTATACCACAGTGCTGATGTACTGTGGTCTTCTAGTAAGTCTCGAGTTCAAGTATATTTAAGTCAGCTCTTTTCTTCTTTTTCGAGGTTTTTTTATATTTTAGATCTATTTTGTTTACATATCAGTTTTAAAAAATCAGCTGAGACATTTATATCAAAAAATCCCGCAAGAATTTTGACTAGGGTTTCATTGAACTTCCATTCTGGTGGATGGGGATCCTGCTAGCAAGTCTTCCAGTCTGTAAACATGGGTGATCGCTCCATTTATTTAAGTCTTTCATTTCTCTCATAAGTGTTTCATAGTTTGAATGCATGTATTTTGTTCAATTTATCCTTGTTTTTAATTTTTGGGATACTTTTAAGTAGCATTGTTTGTAAAACATATAAATTTTCATTGAGAATTTACGGAAGCCTGCTTGAATTTGTGTGTTGACTTTGTGTTCTAGACCTGGCCAGATTCACCTGTGAGGTCTAGCATTTTCTTGTTGAGATTTTGTAGGGTTTTCTGCTTAAACAGTCATAGCACATGAATGAAGACAGTTTTATTCTTGTCATTTTTTTACTTTGTCTTAGTTTATAGCATGGATTAGGAGCTGTGCGCTGGACAGCAGTGGTGAGCACGCACATCTTTCTTTGTTTTCAGTATTGTGGGAAACACATGCAGTCGTTCGTCTCTGACATTGTCTGCACAGCTTCCTGTAGGTCAGTCCTTTATCAGATATCAGGAGTTCTTTTGTGTCTGTATTGTGAGACATTTTAATGAAGGGACTTTGAATCTTGCCACATGCTTTTTCTGCATTTATAGAGATGCTCATATGATTTTCTTTCCGTTTTGGGGTAAAATACACAAGTTAATTTTTGAACGTTAGACTCCAATGAACGGTGAACAGCAGTTGGCTTTGATTTCACTCTCATGTATTGCTGAGTTCAGTTCGCTAGTCTACTGGGATTATGCTGGCCTCATAAACTCTTGGGATCTTTTTGATATTCTGAAAGAATGTGAATAACGTTGGCATTATATCTTCTGTAAATGTCTAATAGAATTCATTCATGAAGCCATCAGAACCTTGTATTTTCTCTTAGGAGATTAATTGTAATTCATGTTTTTAATATAGATATATGACTATCCAGATGTTTGTTTTCTTTTTAAGTTAGTTTTGACAAGTTGTGTATATCAAGAAACATCTTTCTAATTTAAATTGTTGAATATTATTAGCACAATCCATAATATTCTTTACTTTCTAGAAAGTCTGTAGTGATGGTTACTCTTTTATTCCTGATACTCGTCATAAGGCCCCTCCCCTCTTTTCCCAGTTTGTCTTACTCTGGTCTTTTCAGACAGCCAGCTTATGACTTTGACTTCCCCATCTGGTTTGTTTTTGTTTTTTGGTACTGGAGATTGAACTCAGGTCCTTGCGCTTGCAAGGCAAACCACCGAATCCCCCGTCTGATTTGTAGTCTAGCTTTATTCTATTGATATTTGTTCTTTTTTGTGTCCCTTGATTTTAATTTGGGTTGAATTTGCTATTTTTTAACTTCTTAAAGTAGCAGTGTAGATTATGAATTTAAACCTTTCTTCCTTTCTTGATCGGCATTTGTGGTATAATTTTCCCTTGTAATCCCTGCTTTAGCTGCATTGTACGATTTTTGATGTTTCAACTGTCATTTTTTAAAATGTTTTTAGTTTCTCTTGTGATTTCTTCAACCCATAATTATTTAGAATTTTATTAAATAATTTCATGGTTTTTGAAGATTTTCTAGACACCATACTGATGCCTAGCTTTTTTTTTTTAAGGCAGTGTCTTGCTTTGTAGCCCAGGCTGACCTTGGACTCACTGCTATATACCTGTCTCAGGCTCCCAAGTGCTGGGATTACAGGTATGCACCACCACACCCGAGTTGATTTCTATTTTTTTTTTCTTTTGGTGCGGGGGATTGAACTCGGGTCCTTGTACTTGCAAGGTAGGCGGCGGAACCACTGAACTAAATCCCCTGCTTGATTCCTAATTCAGTAGCAATGTGACCACAAAATATTATTTTACCCCTTTCAGATTCTTTTGTTTTATGGCCCAGTATGTGAATCTGTCTTGGTGAATGTTTCAGGTAAACTTAATAAAATTTGTATTTTGTATTTGTTTGCTATAGTCCATAAATACCAATAGATAGGTCAAATAATTGATATTTTTCTTCATATCTTTTATACTGTTGCTCTGTGTTTTTTTGAGTATACATTTTTTCTGTTAATAACTGGGGAGTGTTAACCTTTGGTGATAAATTTGGATGTGTTTCTTCTCCCATTAGTTTCTTCATGGGTTTTTTTTGGGGGGGGCGATATGTGTCCATGAAATATTCATGCCTTCTGCTAGATTTAAATATAAGGATATTTAAGTATAATTTATCCTTACGGGTACTCTTCCTTCCTTTCTACAGGCCTGGATTCTATTCAGTATTATATTCCTTCAGCCTAAAGAACTTCCTTAATTTGTTATTTTTCAATGAATGACTTTTGACAAGTTCAGCAGTCATTTATCTGAAAATATCTTCATTCAAATTCATAATTTCTGGAAGGTATTTTCTGTGGATGTAGAATTATATATTGGCCTTTTTTTCTTTGAGCAAAACAAGAAGATGTTATGATGTCATTTTCTGGGTTACATTGTTTGTGAAGAGAAGCCAATTCTTAGTATTGTTTTCCTCCTGCCTGGCTGATTTTAATGTTTTCTGTGTGTCTGGCGTTCAGCATTTTGAGTATTGTCCACTTACGCTGTACGGTGCTCTTGTACTCTCTTAAGCGTTCACTGACTCTTGGATCTGTGAATTGGTCTCTCTCATCAGTTTGTAGCTCTTCGGGTCCTTGTGCTCTTGGTGTAACTTTTCGCATTCTCCAGTTGCATGCGTGTCATAGATGGTCTTAGGGTTACCCAGAGAGAGCTTTGCTCTGTTCATTCAGTTTGCTTTGTGTTTTGAGATTGGGCTTTTTTTTTTTTTTTTTTTTTTCTCTCCA